TGCCTCTTTGGCCTTCAGGACTGCCGCCTTTGTGGAAACGCTCTCTTCATCCTCGCCTCTCATTTTAGCCTCGTTGGCAAGCGCTTCCAACTCTTCCGGCACCACCGCATGAACACCTGTCATGACCTTTGCGTGCCTTGTGTACCCCTCATAGTCCTCTTGCAATAGCTGCCCTGCCTCTGCGTTTAGAGAGCTCGTAGGGTTGGGGTAGATGAGCAGGCACCGGATCGTGATAAGGACGTCGGTCAATGTCGTGGAGGGCTTCCAGTCCCGCTTCAGGGTGCCGACACAGACATCACCAGATCGGTCATCGATATTGGGGTGAAAAATCTTTGTTTTGAAGGTAGCCTTGGGGGGTTCTTGAGGGTAGTTACTTGGCATGCGAAGCTGAATTAGGAAGAGACCATCCTCAAATGGTGTAGATATAGGCCCATTAAGGTAGATCTCTAGCGAGGAAAGATCGTCGAGCTCTGAGTTTGGTGGGAAGAAGAAATCTGGGGGAGGGTCAGATCTTAGGCTAGCTTGGTCTTGCACGAGACGGCGACGCTGAGCAGAAGACTAGAAGTGGAATAAGTCAGTGAACGAACAAAGATAGTGGCGGACAAGTGGCGAATGGAAGTGTTTCTTACCATATGGGATATTTTAAGATGTTTATGGATGAGGTCACAGAAAATATGATAAGGAAACACAGAAGTGAATCGTTGTTGCGGTGATGAAGAGCAGTTGGTGCAGAAATTGGAACTAAGTGAATTCTATCTAGAGGGATAACGCGTAAATGTTTGTTTATGCCAAGGCATTAAAGATTCCAAATGCAGAAATTCCTGAAACGCGCCGGGGGAATGGCAACGGGAAAGTTGCGCGTTGCCATGTGCTGCTTGGAGCTGCTGGAACGCGAACTTTTGAGGTCGCGTGCTTCGCGTGCTTCGCGTGTGTTTCTCAGGGTCCAATCCTAACTCTGCATGGTGACGTTGTAAATTATCTCTATCCTTCCCCATGCTTATCGAAATCGACGACAGCTAAAGCTTCAGGCTCTTGAGTTTTCAAGTTGAGTTCAATATTGGAATACCTTTTCTCCGCTCGTTGCTAACTTCATTCTTTGTTTACATATTACCCTTTCAAGTCAGCCATTGGTAGTTTTCAATGCCCCCTTCCCCCAATAGTAGGCGGGAGCCAAAGGGATCTTTAGAATCCCATATCCACCGATCACGCTCCCGCGGAAAAAAACCATAGGGTCACGAGGCCTTTCCCTAAAAGTAGACCTACGAATAAGCCAAAGCTCTCTCTCCTGAACAGAACCAGAAGAGCAATTTGAGATAGTTCTGTTCTTCGGCTCAGATGCACGAAAGCTCATCTCCGAATAGACACTTTGACACAGTCAACCATCTCGAACACCTGAGGCCAGCAAGAAGTAACCTGATCGGGCGATACAACCCTAACCCATGTTATTATTGGGACTGGATCCGGACTATGCACAGACAACTGCAGGAGCCCGAGGATCGAGAGTAGAACTTCTGCGGGCAAGGAATAGATGTCACAGGCGGCCATGGCCCTGGTTCAGAGAATCGATCTAACTTACAATGGTGGTGAAGTACGGGAAGCACTTTCACACTATGCAAATCTCGAGGAGAAGCGATCGTTAGGAATTGAAGATTCGACGGGAGGAGATGGTTAAGCTTCTGAGATAATGTGGGGAATCACGTCAATTACAAAAATATCTTCTTGCAGTTCCATTCTCAGGTGGAGGTACAGCCTCAAAACTCCGTGTAGTGCTTACCAGAAATGCACTTCTCGATTAGGTATATTACTTTGACCATCTATTCTGAGTTATGTGCCTTTTACACTTCGGCGGTTAATACGAGCCTCCAGAATCAATTTTCTCTCACATACCGATTGATAATTGGTAGTAATGAAAGGAAAAATAAAAGATAATTCTTTGCGTTTTTAGTTTTTTATTCCCCAGAAACGCGCGGTAAGCCCGGACATCCGAGAGGTGAACAGCTCATAAGTGTGAAAAGATTCAAGAGGCAGCTGCCCACAAGCTAATGCAGGTACGCCACCACTCGATGCTTTATTGACAACCAAGCAATTAATTCCTGCCTAGAGCTCGGAAAGTCTTCAGCGACACACATCTTGGTATGGTTGTGGGTATCGGCGTTAAACGCAACGTTTCGGTGGCAGTTTTAAAACGTGTACAAGAGGAGGAGCATGAAAAAAAAGGCTCTCAAAACTTTCTGAAACAAAGGGTTGCTGTTACTTTTGCCAAGAATTCTGGTAACTGGTCAGATCGAAAAGGTTTGCAGGACGATGTTCGGTAGATTCGATGGCCGTCGATGGATCCATATGTGGCAGTGCGCTGTTCAGTGTTTCTGCCGCCGACGACGTCGATGTCCCAATCGAGATCCTGGTATTTACGAGTCAGCAGTTGTGATTCGAGGGCATCGAGCTAGTAGTAGACGCGGGTACAATAGCCCGGTTCTTGATGCGAGTAAAGTCAAAGCCCATCTGTTCTACCTTCAAGAGTACTAGGTAGAGTACCTATTTCAAGTCGTACCAATTTCGGATTTGTAGGTACTTTCCGGTAGTAGGTACAAGTATTGAAGAATTCTAATGACCTTTTTTTTTTTCTTTCTCTTTTTTCCTTTTTTCCTTTCTTTCTTTCTTCTATCTCTTGCATACATCACATCGCAGGAATGAAGGGATCAAGGGAAAGGAAGAAAAAAAAAAGAAAAAAAAAAACTCATTCATCATGATGGCCGTCGTAAGTTTCGGGTACATATGTAGAAAATCGGCATGTCGAAGAAGAAAGCAAAACGCACGACTACTGGTAGCGTACGCAGGATGTAGCTACAACAGCGTTAATAGGACAACGGATGCGGGCAATGATTCAGTGAACAAGTATTAAACAACACTTCGGCTGACATAACTGTGGTTGGTGGGCGCGGGGGCCGTTCGTCCAGTAAACAGTAAAACAGAAGAAAAAAGAAAGTGGCATGGTCAACCATTCGGGTAGGCTTGCAGCGGTTCCCACGCCCATCATAGGTAGGCACAGAGTGTATCGCTGCTTCGCATCCGATGTAGAGTGTGCTCGGGAGGGACACGCCAACCGTTCTCTATGCATAAACACGTGTTCTACTCCAAGTGTGTTATGGAGTGTGCGTTTTCCCTGCGCCGCTGCACGAATCAAACAAGGCCTGGTGCAAAAGAGACTGCCCTGTACCTTCTTGAAGAGAGAAGGGAAAAAGAAGTGCGACTATGCACATATGGTATTGAAGGGGGAAAACAATCCTTTGAGGTTAATGTTCTGGTGAAATAGGTAACGTTCAACGCACAGAAGAAACCCAGGGTCTAACCTACGCTGGATGGTTGTAGACGGAAAACGGTTAGAAGGAAGGCCGCAGGGGGATTGACGTAAGGGCACGATAGCTGTATCAGGAAGAGCTCGGGGTAGACTGGGGTGACTAGACCGGGGAGGTTGATAGCCAGTGAACAGGTACATACTCTCTACACAAAGAGGAATGGAGGGAAAAAACAGTCAACGGAGGGACAAACCTTTCTCAAGGCCGACCAACCGACTGACCAGGCTCAATTCAATCAACGATTTCAACAAAATACTACAGTTGGACGGACCGAGGATTAAACCGAGAAAGGTCCAGTAAGAAAAAAGAAAGGAAGGTACACAAAGGTAAGAAAGAAAAGCAAAAAAGAAAAAGAATACCAAGGGGAAAAAGAAAAGAGAGAAAAGCTGGGGATACTTGACCCGTAAATCCAATCCACCCATCGACATCTATGAACTGATTGACGGACTCGATTCCACTCTAGAGGAAGTATGCCTGTCTAACCTTGAACTGCGCATCCCACACACACTTCCCACCATCCTCTTTTTTTTCTCTGCTCCGCTGGTCATCGAATAATTCGACCTACCCCTACAATTCTAGAGACTGGAGTATCTAACTCTTCTCAATTCTACTATTCTACCTACTCCCTCCTCTAACTCCCTACCTACCTCCCCCCGTTTCATCTCCTCCCCCCCATCTCTCTCCATTCATATTACATATATTTTCTTCCTTTCTGGGTTCTTTATACCTTCTTCTACGGGACGCCTTACAGCTCTTCTTCATACACTAGTGTTAATCGTACATCCTCCACCCCACACACCCCAAGAAAAAAAAAGGCATACTCTAGTCCATTGGAAAAGAAGTATCTACCTCTAGCTTTATTTCCATATCCCATGTTCACCGGCCATCTGCCGAACCAGGTGAGTCCCAACCAATCTCAACTTGCCTCATACATGGCAATGCTTTTTTCGTACACATCTACCCCCGGAGTCTTAATTTAGCTGACAGCTGGCCCCGTTGTCCATACAGTCATTCGGTTCGTTGTAAATTCGAATCAGTAGTAAAAAGAGGCAGGAATTGAGTTAGACGCGAGTAGGTAATTGGCTCTTGCGCTCACCCACCCCATCGTCCCAGTGTGTGTGCCCTGTAAGGTTGCTGAGCTCCAGAAGAATATAGGTAAAACGCGAGCCCTCGCATTTTCACCACCAAGCAACTTCAAGTTGTCTCCCTCACCAGCAACAGATACCTTAGAATATTTTTTAAAGGGTCAACCACCGTCCTCACCTCCAGTGGTCCCTTCAGAGTACCAGGACTCTTTCTCCCCACGCATACCATCTCCTCATCCGGAGCTCTCACCACCCCGGGACGCGCACCTACGATCCTGGTCAAACTCATCTTCTTCGAATCTTACTACGAAATCGTTCATTGTTCCTTCTATAGAGCTAGGTTTAGAGTCACAAGGAAGCTCTCAGTATTTTACTCCCGCGGGGAGCATCAGGAGCTGGAGTAGCCTGCAGCCCCCGCTTCTGCAGAGCAATAGCAGTCAGATCTCCGGTGGTGGTTCAACAAAGCCACAGGGTTCTCCTGCTGGGAGAAGTACAGAGAAAGGTTGTTTAGGGACTTCAGCTAGCGGTTTATCTAATATTTTCACACCTATAAGGAAAGCGCAGGCTCCAAATTATTCAATTCAGAAACGTTATACCGAGGACTGGGTCCTTCAGCGTGGATTTCAAACACACCGGCGTAGCGATAGCAGCTGGTACTCAGAAAACTCGGACAGTTCAAGTTCCGAGGGAAACGCAAAATTAGGGACGCATCGACGTTACCCTTCAGACGCAAAGACTATCACTCCAGCTGATTTCCAGTCTGGAAGATTCTTGTTAGCACCGAAAGCAGAGCTTTCTTCGGACGCAGATACAGGAACCAGTGAAGGAGCTTGGAAAACAGCCCCACAGTCTTTTACCGAGAACAAAACAGGCACATCTTCACCAATGCCTATGTTAGCAAGCATATGGGCGAGCACGCCTCCCCCAATCATGGAGAATAGATTTCCTATAAGTAATGGGGTATCGGATATCCGATTAGAACCGGAGCATCCGAATTCAGATTTATCGGTGTTTGGCGTGGTAGAAAACGGACCGAGCACCAACATGATTCGAACACCCTCACCTCTATCATCGACTGAGGCAACGGCGACACGTACTCCCGTACCGAATGGTATCTCGGCAAGCTTATTATCACACACACCCCTTCAGTTGAGCCGATCGGGCACACCAAATATCAAGTCGAAGAAACGGAAGTCGAAGAACGTTGTCAAGGTCCCCTCATATTCACCATGGGGACTACCATTAGAAGAAGGGGGCAGGCCAATGCCATTGACTAACCTCGAGATGGAAGAGCGATCACGGAAATGGGAGGCTCTGGGTTACACACCTGAATTTCTCAGTGGTCAGGGGGCACAGAGCAGAGACATCTTCCTAGAAGACACGAAAGAAAAGGTTAAGGATGTGGTGGTTAATATTCGTGATCCAAGTGGTATGTTAAATTTTTGTTGTTCTGTCATTTGCGCTTTCAAATACCAGAATATTATACCGTTGAGGGTATTTTGAAAAACATCCAAGATTCAAGATCGATTGTTTTATACATATCGCACTCAGATAATTAGAACCACATTTCCCCGCTTTCACCTTTCTTTTCCCCATTCTTATTGAGGTGAGGTTTCTTCTTGCTAACCTTAATCAACATCTAGAGTGGCAGGAATATTGTAACCAACTTCGAGAAGAGAAGCTCCGGGCTTTAGGTGTTATATTGGCCGACGATATACCAGCCGCTATGCCTGCTACTACTACTGCAAGGGGCCAAACTCCACTGGTAAGCCTTTATAGACGCATCAGCAGGAGCGAGGGTTTAGTTACTGACATCCATGAATAGTCACACCAAAGCCCTGCTCCATTCCAAGCTAATCCTTACTCACCACCTCACCCTACACAATCCGCAATGTCCAACGGAATGGGTCATAATGGCAGCCAGAACGTAAATTATCACGGACACCACTACTCACCCTCAATGGCCCAGGCCCCTGTGCATATGTCGCCGATTCCAGCGCAAGCAAACCATCCCCTTCCTTACCACATGCCACGGCAGTCAATGTCCATGAACCCAACTCCTATTAATCATGACTGGGATCTGTATAACCCCAATATGTATACCCCGCCACCACCACAAAACCAACCCACTCCCCCAATGATGACCGGGTCAGTTTGGAGTCCTGCTCCACCTGGTCCGTTTGCTATGAGAAATCCTTCTCCAATGGGCGGAATGGGTCACCACAGCCATTCACCGAGCATGTTTACACCCCAATACATCATGGAGGAGAATCAAGACTACATGAACATGATTCCTAATGAATACGTAGAGAGCCAGAGGGCAGCAGCATATTATGGCCATAACCACCACCTCTCATTGGTAGGTATGGACCGATTCCAACAGCAACAGATGCGCCGAGGATCTCCCCTGGCTCATCAATCTGGGCACCTTCTCGAGGAAGATGAGCAGCGTATGATTGATATGATGGCAATTGATGCACCAGTCCCTGGGCGTCGTCATAATCTCAGCATATCACTAGAAAAGGATATGGAGGGCATGGAGAACTACCAAAAGGAGATTGAGACACATATTGGTCATCATCTGTCAAATGGAGATGGTTTCAACACAAACCCAGTTTCCCCAGCTCCGGAAGCTATGTACCCACAACATCCTGATATGCCATGCGTCGAGAATGACGTTCACAACGGACCAGAGTTACTCTCAAACCCCGAAGACGATGTTCCGGACGTTGAGACCGAGCGACAACACAACCGACAGGCTGCCCGGGAACGTACACAAAGTATCGGAATGAATGGTCAGCAGTATGATAGCAATTCTCTGCCCATGTCCGGAAGCCAGTACATTCCACAGAGCTACCAACCGCATAGCCGAGACACCTCGCTTTCTCACATACAATATGATGCGATTGACCCTAGAGAAAACTCTGCACTCTCAATGCTCATGGGTACCGGTATCGGTACAGGTTCCCGCCGGGGTGGTATGCTAGACGAGATCCTTAGTGAGGGTGGTCGCACAAACCCCTCCGACATCAATACCAATCCCAGCGAACCCTCAAGCCCTCGCCCGAAATACACATCTCATATGCGCGATATCTCCAACAATAGCAACGCGTGGATGTCAGATACTTCCAAGGCTCCAGGATCAACCACCTCGTCAAAGAAGTTCAACGCCCAGGCACCAGAGTTCAAATTCAAGCCTGGGACATCATTCAAATATTCTCCACAAAGTAAACCATTCATCCCCTCAGGCTCAGTTAATTCTTCGCCTATTGGCAGTACCACCCATTCTCGAAAGACCAGTCAGGATCCCGTTGGGTTTGGAAGTTATGGTAAAGGAAAACTCAATGTTGGCGCTGCACCATTCCGACCACGGCTGTTCTCCAACGGATCTGCTTCTAGTGTATTCGCAAAAGGCGCTCAATTTAGTCCTGATGCGCCTGTATTCAAGCCAAAATCAGCTGAATCAATATCTACACCAGCAAGCAAAAGTTCACTACCACCGATATTTTCACCTACTAAGGAGATTGATGAGCCCGTTCTTGAGAAGCAAGCATCTCGACCACCTAGTCGCACGTCGGTACACAAGGAGACACCGGCAGATGTGATTGAAGATGATGCAAGAGAAGGAAATGTATCAGGAGGTGGAGGAAAGAGGGCTAAACATGGTCCAACCTCAAGCCTTGTCAAAGATACAGAGGTGCCGGCATTGGAGAGTCTGCGCCCCTCAGAGGATGTAGAGACCTCAGATGTCAACGCCGCCGATAGCCAAAATGCTACTCCCACCGAAGAGACATTTGCCGAAAGCAGCGCGAGTAGCGATGAGGTTGAAGACGTACCAAAGGAGTTGCCAATTGAAGAAGAACCTTTTGTTATGATCGAGGAGGGTGAGTCAAACCCTGAATCTGATTACATGCCTTATGTGCTTAGAGATTTAGGAGAAATAACATCATTCGCCATGGCGGATGCCAATATCTCCGCCGTTCCATCCAAGGGCGAGGGCGAGACACCTCTCGATGTTCTGGACCAAGAGCTGTCTGCTGTTGAAGAGGCTGAGGCCATCGCAGCGGCCATCCCCATTGATAATAGGTCAGAGAGGGCTTCCACACCCCCACCTGCTGAAGTGCTTGAAGAACCCACCCCACAGGCAGCAGCGGCAGCCCCGGACTTCAATTTCGACTTCGCACAAGCAGCAGAGCCTGTCACTCATATGGAGGCAAAGTTCGGCGGGATGGGCGAGTCTCGATACTCTCATGCACCATCGCCGCCCCCAGCGCACCCGGCTCCTTCGCCACCTGTTTCCGATATGCTCCCATTGCCGTCAGAAAGGGTATCCTATGCTTCAAATGCAGATTCGTACAGGTCGAATCCTTTCGTGGACCCAGTCAAGCCAATGCCGACCGATTCCGAGTTGGATGAGGTTATTCGGCATTTGTCTGAGAACGATCCCATCTATGGTAATCAAGAGAACGGCATGTCTGGATCGGAAGTCGGCGAGCAATCCATGGATGAAGAGCAATCAGCCCCAGAAGAGACGCAAGAAGAACAACAAGTGGCCGACGAGGATCTCATTACCTGGAGGCGCGACACCCCGAAGAGGCCAGCTATCCCGGTATTCCACGATCTGACACCGACATCGCACCCATTCGAGCAAGCAGAGCGCAGTGCTGGACCCAGTCCAAGCCCGACCCGCGGCACATTCCAGCATACAGCTGCAACGTTCTCAACAGACGATGATGCAACATATGCGCAAGCCCAAACTACTGGAGAAGTTGCATATCAGCCTCCTGCACAGGAGGATATTGGTCATGCTCAGCCAGAAAGCGACTGGGATGATTTGATCCCCCAGGATGACTCCAAACTCCGACCGCAGAGCCGATTGTTTTTCGATGCTCACGTTGAAGAGTTTGTTGGTGATCTCCTACATTCTCGCCTGGATCCACTCCACAAGTCTCTCTCAGCTATCCACGATGTCTTGAAGAAGAATCAATCGTTGACTCTTACACGGAGAGGAAGCGTTGCTACTTCAGCTCCACACAGCGATGCTGACGATGAGGAAGATGACACCCAGCCACCAAGATCACCCAGGAAGGATAAAAAGTCAGAGAAGATCAAGTCTGCTGTTGTCGAAGCGCTCGTTATGCACAACTGGAGCGCTCCAACCGAAGACAAGCTGGCGGAGATCTACAGCGCCATCGCAAAGGTTTCTCGTGCTTTCCAGGACAGCCATTTGAACGATGACTTAGCGGAAACGAAGTCGGCTATCCTTCAGGCACTTACGAAGACTGCACACACGGATGAAATTGATCTCACCAAGCTAGAGATTCTCGCCGCCATCAAGCGCACGGCCAAGTCAAACGACATGGAAGATTTGAAAACATCCTTCGCCCGCTCCGTTTCCAAGATTGCGCAAGTCGAGGACATCGCATCGATACGTGAGGCCATGGAAGAGGTCGCGCAGATTAGTGACATTGTCGGAATGAAATTGGAGCTCCGCGACTCATTGATCAGCACGGCACAAAAGAGCGACATAGAGGATCTTAAGAGCATCTTGTCTAAAGTCCCGGAAAAAGGTGATCTCGAGTGCCTGCAGGATATCACTGTTTCAGGTTTCGCAAAGGCGGTCAAGGCAAACGACATTGTCGAGCTCAAGAACAGCTTGTCGGAGGTTATCAGGACTATCCATACTACTGATGTTAGGGGCGATGTTCAGCAAGTGTATGAGCTGACACGGGATAACGCAATGGATACCAACTTGTACCAGCAAGCACAAGAAAATTTCATCAGAGAAAGCCATAACAACGTCAGCAAGTCACTGGACACTATCCAAACTTCTGTTCATGATGTTCAAAAGTTGGTTCAGCAGCGTGGCCAAAAGGAGGATATGCGCAGAAGTCTGCAAGAGGATGATCAGAAGCAGAATTTCACAGATATCAAGACCTACATCGGTGAGGTTAACAACAATCTTGTTGATGTAGTTGCCCGCGTGCAGAAAGTGGACGACATCAGACTGGTTGTAGGCAATATTTCAGACTCGCAACCCAGACTAGCAGATATCAAGGACGTTTTTGAGGAGGTTGTGAGAGGGCAACCAACTTTGGGACAGGTGAAATCAGTGGTAGAGGACGTTGTCAACAGGCAGCCGACAATCGAGGAGTTGAAGTCTATTGTCGAGGGAGCTACCAGCAAGCAACCAACAATCGAGGAGCTGAAGTCCGTTGTTGAAGAGGTTGCTAAAACGCAGCCAACAATCGAAGACCTACGATCTGTGGTTGAGGAGGTTGCCAATAAACAAACAGTCGAAGAATTGAGAGTTGCTGTCGAGGAGGCTTTCAACAGGCAGCCAACGATTGACGACTTAAGGCTAGTTGTTGAAGAGGCTTCCAACAATCAACCAACCTTGTACGATGTCAAGAACGCCATGGAGGAGGTTACCGATTGCTTGCCCAAGATGGATGCTCTCCGTTCTATGATGGAAGAGTTGCTTTCCAAGCACCGGACTGTCACGGTTACCAAGGCCACCGAGCACGCCAATACCGAAGCGCTTCTACTTAAAGTGGCAGGCCTTGAGAAGATGCTGGACGAGGCCGGGAGTCGTGCGGAGGCAGAGTCACAGGCAAGAAGGGAGGCCCATGAGAGGACCTTGGAGTTGGAGAGTAGATTGAGGATTGCTGAAGAGGAGGCGGCAAGGTACCGGGACAAGGCGGAGGAATCAGACCGCAGATTAAAGGCCAACGACGACAAACGATACCAGGCTTTGACACAGTCACAAATGCGCGTCGCACTTCTTGAGGGCGCCCATTCGGCTCTGCAGAAGAGTGTTGGGGAGCTTTCAGCACGGAATGCAAATCTGGAAGGCAGCATTAGGGAAGCACAATCGGCCAGCGAGCGGAACAAGGAGGAAGCGAACAGAATGGAGGATGAGAATAGAGAGCTCAGAAGGGTTATTGAGTCTCTGAAAGCAGAAATGGAGGAAAGTATTAGAGTCCGTGAAGGTTTCCGCGGGAAGTTTGACAAGTTGCAGGGGGACATGCAGACCGCGGCATACAACATCGGCCAGGAACAAGGAAAGTGGAGGAAGGCCCAGGAAGAACAAAGGGCTAGGATCGAAGTTTTGGAGGCAAGAGTAGCGGCCGAAGTTACGGTGAAGGAAGGATTGGAGAGCGAGGTCAGGCGATTGGAGGTCGAGCAAAAGGAGGCAATTAAGCTGAAGGTGGAGTATGAGCAGCTAAAGAGGTCGAATGGGAAGTTAGAGGAGATGCTTGATAAGTTCAGGGAAGAGGCGGTAGAACACTCACAGCGCGCTGCATCTCTTGCCCACGAAGTAGACTCCGCTCGCGACTCTGCACATGAAGAGGTCGCACGAATGAGGGAATCTCTTCAGAGAGATGTTGATACTGCCAACACTGCGGTCAACGCTGTCCGGGCTTCCCTCGAATCGGAAATGGAACAGCTTCAACGTGCGGCTAAGGAAGCAGTAGCTGAGAAAGAGCAGTTCAAACTTCGACTCGAGGAGGCTGTTAACTCCGAACGTGCCGCCCTTGACGAACTCGAGAAGACAAAGGCCGCGCTTTCCCAAGAGTCTACTGAATCCAAGTCTCTCGTGGTACAGGAACAGCACCAAAAGTACGAGAAGCAACTTTTGGAACTCCGCCAACGCTTTGAGGATACTCGGTCCCAAAATGATAGGGCCCTTAGAATCGCGACCGAGGATGGTGAGCGCGAAGCGATCTACCTGAACCAACGTCTTGACATCTCTCAATCTGAAGTGCAACACCTTCGTGAGAAATCCAAAGACCTTCGAGAACAAACAAAGGATCTTCGCGAGCACATTTCCCTCCTCAAAGATCAACTCAAGATTGCCACATCTGCGGCCCAGGCTGCTGCTCAGGCTGCTGCAACTTCGAGGGCACCCCAGGCCGTCTCAGAAGAAAGGGCTTTACGAGAATCGGTGAACGTGCTTCAGGAGCAGCTCCAGCAACGTGAGGCGCGAATTGAAGAACTCGAGCAACAGCTTTCCAAATTCGACAAGGCGGATATCAAGCGCAAAGACGAGCAAATCACGTGGCTTCGAGAGCTACTTGATGTCAGGGTTGACGAGTTGGAGGAGATTGTTCATGCTTTGAGCATGCCCCACTTTGACCGTGAGAGTGTCCGGGATACGGCACTTCGTCTTCGGGCAAACCTCCAGATGGAGCAGCGGGAAAAGGAGATGTCAATTACTCCTAGTCGCGGGGCCATTGCCCCAGTTACAAGTCTCGCATCAAGACTTCCGGGCGTTGCAAGTTCTGCCGCTAGTTCTGCCGCCGGTTGGTGGAATTCGAAGAATAAGGGTCCATCATCAGTTGCCCACAGTTCACCCTCACGACCCGGCTCTGCTGCCGGTTTCTTGAATGGCATTCTCGCACCTGCACCTCCGACCACACTTGCCAATGCCCAACGGATGGGATCCAGGCTTGCACGGGGTATTTCTTCAGAAACAGGTTCAAATTCGTCGCATACCACTATCACTTCGCGGTATAGAGAAAAACAAACGGCGGTACCCTCCTACAGAGCAGAGAGAGGGGGATCCAGGAGAATGCAACACCATCTTTTCCAGAAGGGGTTGTATGATGCGGATGCGGATGCGGATGCCAACGATAGTGTGATGAGCGGAGAGTTTTATGAGGATGAGGATAACGGGACAGAAACGGGGGCCGATGATGGCGATATGCCGTACCGACCGGGTTCATACAGGCACTGAAGGGAGTACGAGGTAGTTATCTAGTGGCGTGCGTTGTATTTCATTGAATAGTTTTTTTTTTTAGATAATTTTTCTCGTTTTTCATTTTTTTTCTGGGGTTGAATGTTTTTTGTTTTTTGTTCGAGAGATACCTTGGTTGTGTGGGGAAATGGAGCGAGCATTGTGTCGGTGTTTGCCATTCTTTTTAAATTTCATTTGTTTTTTTCTTCTACTCGGTTTATTTTTGCACTTTGGGAGGTGGGATGGGAGGAAAGTGGAGTCCTTATGATTGACGTTTAAAATTCTCGGTTTTTATGAGTTGTCGTTTTTCTTAGCGGTTTTTTTGACTCGTTTATATATCCATTTTCTTGATAATACCTTCTTCCTATGATTCTTTGATCCTTATTCTCTTGTAACTCGGTTGGTTATCTCATCTCGTTCTAGTTATGCCGCGATGTCTGTTGCTTTTTGCCGTTCTTATGAGTTTTTTGCTGGTTAATTTTTCTCTCTACTAAAGTAATTCTTGAATTTCTATATACCAAATAGTTAATCGATTCATAATCAAGAGCGTTTATTCTGCTTGATCCGCGCAAAATGTCCCACGATTTAGCAACTGTCCTGAGAGCTGTATGTGCACTTTTGCCCATACATCATCACAACCCCGTAAAGGTACCAATCAAAGCATCGAGAACCAGGTGGTGACAGATGTCTCTAGGCTGAATTTATGTATGTGCTCATAGACCCATGTAAATAAGTCAGTCCCAGCCTTTATAGTAGATCGACATCAATCGGCGTCCCTACGTGCCCAAGATGACTGAAATCCCAACCATCTTCTTCCCTCTTGTGCTCCAGTAAACGGCGGCAGCTCCGTCCCAAGCACCCATTGATAGTCACATAGCCCCCACGCCGCGTTTGCGGCAACGAAAGATTCAAAGAGGGGCAAATCTGGGAATGTGCTAGAGCGGTTATCTAGCTGTGACAGTGTGACTTTGATAGCACCACAAATGTGGAACGCGGAGAGTTACGAGAAGTTTCTACGGCACCGCTCTGATCCGACAACCCACCGTGGCATGTCTCTTCTTCATGCTACCCAGCTATTTTAGCCAGCCAACCAAAATATCGAGAAGGGGAAGAGGGAAATAAAATACCAGCAACAATGAAAATTTCAAGGCCATGGCCACTACATGTATGGTGTGTAGGTACTCTTCTCTACTCTAGATAACTAATGCAAGCTGTTTTTTAAAGTTTTGAAGCTTGTTTGTTATCCCTCCCTTCCAGGGTCCACCGATGATGTAAGAGGCTCTATCTTGCTGCACGTCCGACGGTCGGGAATCGGGAGACTTATCGCTCCATCCCATCATGGCCCACCCCTGTCGATGATGCTTTCGCCTGATTGAGAGGAGGAGGAGGAGGAGGGGTGGAAGGAATATGAGGAGTAGTAGGAGCAGGAGTAGGAGCAGGAGGTAGCTGGTGTAGGAGTGAGGCAGAAGTAGGTGTTAGGAGTCGTCCCCTGCGTCATTCTCGTTGTCACACCCCTTTAGAGGTAGAGTGCTGCTGTGCCTTGGTCACCGTCGGTGTCATCGTAGTGGTCTGTACGAGTAAAGAAAGGCCTCATATGGCCCATGGGCAATGCGGAAGTGGGCACAGTACTGGGCAACGCAGCAGAAGAGCAGAGAAAAATAAGAATACGGTAATATTATGTATGGAGATATTATTAGGAACTGTAGAGTAGGGCACTTTGGATAGGAGCATACATAAGGAAGAACCTTTCTCCATATCTTTCCCTATCTTCATGATCTTCTACCATCTTCAGTACCATCCATACTAAATATTCCTATTCCATCACGATTAAAAACAACTCACGCCCCGCATTCCTACCGATAACCCCACCACCGGATTCACCATCGATAACTCTACACCCACATCATCTTCTAAAATCGTACTCAGGTAGGCTCCCTATGTCTCGTGGTTCTTCATTATCGTCTTTCCCCTCGTGAGCATTTCGTTTTCGTATCCTGTGCGCGCACCCTCATTTCCCACTAGGATACAAAGTCTTAATCTGGAGCGTGACAGCGGTTCATCTCTGGCCTTGCCCCCGTAGTGAAGCTCTTTGAAGGACCTCACCTGACTGACCACGTGCGGATAGGGACAGGCACAAAAGACAACGCAGATACTCATTTAATAACTGAAGCTTACTCCCTCCGCGGTGCTACCATCTACAGCGTCCCTCCTCCCCCCCCCCCCCCTTACACACAAAAAAAAAAGATCTCTTTTTGCGTACATACCTACATACCATACTCACAGCTTCCCCCAACCTCGTGGTTTCTTGATCACCCCTTGTGATATCAACAAACCTCCTGGAATTTGGAGTGAGATTTACAAATATCCTTTTTTCCGAGGAAGATACATGCACAGAGAGTGAGAGAGTGAGAGAGAGACCCGTGTGTGAAAATCGTAATTTCCCCCAACATACCTGGATCGAGAGGTGGCAGGGCTTCTTTTGTTTAAATATTAACCTCACCCTTTTTCTTTCTTTCTCCTATCTTTGCTGACACTGAACGTCAACCCACAAAGATAGCTGCACTGAACATTCCAACATCCGTTGATAACTAAAAGAAAAGAAAATATATATAAAAAAAAACGTGAGAGAAATGGAGGAGCCATCAAATCACGGCAGCGGAAAACGATCTTTCTTTGGGTTGGGAAAGAAGAAGAAGAACCAGGATAAAGCAAAGCCGAATCCAGACTCACCACCAACAACAGAAGCAGCATCTCCTGAGCTTGAACCAATGTCCGATATCGACGACACCCCAAATACAACAATCCCAATCAGCGCTAAAGCTCCACAGCTACCCCAGTTAACCGCTTTTTCGCCTATCGCAACAACAGCCCCTAACGTTTTCTCGAGCTTTCCTTCCCCACCAACACAATCCCCAATTCAATCCGTAGGATCGAGCTCCTCACCACCCCCGGTTCCTCGTCCGGGCACGTCTGAGTTTGCCTCGCCTCGCCTGTCCACCAGCAGCTCCCAAATCTTTGAGCGCAACGTCCAAGAGCAGCTCAGCAGCACAAACTTACCGCCCCCAACATCTTCGGCTATTCCCGCACACATACAAACCGAGAATCGGATTCCCGCTGTCTTGGAGGCTAGCTCTATAGCCATCACAGACGAGAAATGTGGGGTAGACGAAGTCGAGATCGTCATGCATAGCATGCATCAGCCAGCCGTGTCCGTCCCTCACAGGGGCACCTCTTCAAGTCCGGTCTACGGGGGTCACGTGCCCGGGTACGGAAGCGACAATGCAATCGACGAATCCTCGGGGAATTCTGGAGATGAGCTCTCATCGCACGGTGTGGGTATTGGGGCCGCGGCAGCAGCTGATAAGCGCAGGTTGTCGTTCATTTCGTTTGCGGACGTTGTTCAGGCAGAGCAGGCCGAGCACGAAGGAGTAATGGCGTCTTCAGGGTCGCTGAGAAACCTTTCCCCAGGCGGTTCGCCAAATGTAATACCCGCAGATCGGGATGTTGCGCTTTCGACGATAAACGAGACGCTACGGCGCTCGCCTTCGCCCATCCGGCTTGGGTCTAGCCCTCCACGTGGAAGTGGAAACGTACAGAGGACCTTGAGTGGGAAATCGATGGGACCAGCAGGGGCAGGGTCTCCGCCAAGAACTAGTATGGGAGACTCGCTCGGCATGGAAAGGGGCGAGTTGACAATCGAGACTATGAGGCAGGCACTGAGGAAAACAGGTAGCGGGGACCTGTCGGGGTACGGAGGTGCTAGAAGCAATCCCAGCCTGCGATAGAGAGAGAGGGGGAGGGAAATGTTTTGTTTTGTTTTGTTTTTTATGAGCTGTAGTTGGGATGGGTATTTTTATGAGGAGTTTTCGTCAATTTTATTATCTATTTATTTTCATCTGGCTTATTTGAGGCAGACCCGGTGTTTCCCTTCTTTCGTGTTCCTTTTTCTTCCTTTCTTCCATTTTCTTTTCTTCCGAGTCACATCTTCCCTTCTTTCCTCACCTGCAAGCTGGAAGTTGGAGTAACGGGCGAGATTAAGTATAAACAACCGAAAGCTCACCACCCCCCCCCCCCCCCCCAAATTGGAAGGAGGGTTGCATCATATCGAATACCTAATCTCGCCCCCAGTATTCGCAAACCGGGTGTGATTGACTACATATGTAGCTAGCTAGCTAGTTGGTTTGGCAATCATAATCACTGGATCGTTGGGTGGATTTTGTGTACCCGGCAAGCCATTGCCGGACGACATTTGTGGGGAAGGCTTCTTTTTACTTTGGTTTGGTTTGCTTTCTCTTTCCATCTCCCTTTTTCGTAAAACCGGCGAGGGGAGGAATTAAGAGAGGGAAATGGGAAGGAGATTATGTAAATGTATGTATACGATATACATACATGGTCTGGCTGGCCATGGGTCTGGGGGGGAAAGGAAGGTTTTGTCATCATTGTCGTCGTTGTCGTCGTTGTCGTTGTCGTTGTCGTTGTCGTGGACACACTCGTGCCCTCCCTCCATCCCTCACCTACTCCCTACTCTAGCTGGTGCGTTGCGGTAGTTTAGTAATTTCAATAAGGTGATCACAAAAAGAATATTCCCCACCCTCCGCCATACCCATAATTGGCATACACTTCCCTCTCCAGCCGTTGCATCATTGGTGTTTGTGTGTTTTGCGTCCGTCGGTATTACTGTGCTGTGCTGTAGTGTACTGCACTGCACCGGTGATGGGGACCGGGAGGGAGGGAGGGAAAGAACGTGGTGGTAGGGAAGGGAGAGAGGGTCTCAGGATGGTTATGTACTTTTTAGCCGGAGGGCAATTGGATTGCAATGCAACGTTTCCAGCATAACACGGCACTCCTCAAATAGATTGGGGAGACATTCAAAGACGGTAGGTCCTGCCCGACGAGAGAATTAAAGAGAGAGGTAGAGGAACGTAGGACACCGTCAAGAGAAGAGAATTAAGGGAGTCAAAGAGAAGGAAAGATACGAGGTCAGGTCGGAGGTCGGAGAA